ATCATTACTTATTAACGGTCTAGCAAGATCTCACAGCCCTTAATTTGCTAAGATAATGGATTCCGTAAAGAACCAACGCAAACCGCATTCTGAAATTGCTTAAATTTGCTATCAAGTGAGCAGCGCCTTTGTTCTTAGATTACGGTAACAGGTATATATTAGGACAAAACATAAATTTAACAGGATGCAAAATCCACCTACTTGATTGCTTGGTTTAATGGCAGATGCCATGAGAGAAGATAAAAATCTTTCGAGTTTATTTTCCATTTATTTAGTTTTCCTTCAAGAACAATTCTTCGTTGATTCATTCTGTATTATTTTGTCAGTACTTTGAACCGCAGAAATGGGCACACTTCATGCGTTGTCGCAACTCCACTCTGCTCAAGCAATCATATCCAGCGATTACATGAACCTATCCTAACGTTTTTTCAAATGCAGCTTCACAGATCACGCCACTTTCTTCTTTTCTTTCTTTTCTACTCAAAGGAGATATACGGAATATATAGGTAACATCGGAAAACCATTTCGTCGTTTACTCTGAAGCATTACATTTGCTTTACTCAAAAAAAATATGCGGAACAAGGGGTAACATTAGAAAACCATGGCATAGAAAATCTTTGAACCAGTACATCTGTTTCACTCAAAATGCATGAAATGTATAGATAGCATAGGCCATAGCAGAAAACTATGGCCTACAATAGTACATACAATACATTCAAAGCAATACTTCTTTAGTTTACATGATACATAGCAAAATCCTTCCAAGAAGTTGACTAAAACAAGGTCTCTGCACGATCATGCTACAGTATTTTACTTATTTTAGCAGTTACGCATGATAAGAGTTGTCACAGAAACAAAGTTTGTTTCATAATCAGCAGGTAAAATAGCTCTACATGCAAGTTTTTGGCTTTTTAAGCAAAATATTCAAAACAACTTTATCTGCCGAAAGCACAGAAACAGTTAAAAAATGGCCAGATGTCATCATTCATTTTAGGCTTACATTATTTCATGCTGACAAGATAGAACCACAGTTTTTTTTTTGCACAAAAAAAGTT